TTCCATGGTGTAATTCCATCTTCATTCTTCCACCAAGCTAGCAAATTGACTAGTTTCAATGTCAGCAACAATACCTTCACAGGGTATATCCCATCCTCGATTTGTCTCAAACATTCTTCTCCCTTCCTTAGGCTATTGGATTTTTCTTCCAATGACTTCAGTGGCAACCTTGCTCCTGGACTAGGGGACTGTTCCGAACTGCTGGTTTTTCGAGCCGGTCGCAATAACCTCTCAGGACTACTTCTAGAAGATATCTATAATGCTACTAAACTTGAAGAAATTTCATTACCTCTCAATTCACTATATGGAGCCATTAGTGATAAAATTGTCAACCTCACCAACCTTGTAATCCTTGACCTCGTCTATAATCATCTTGGCAGAGAGCTTCCTCTCAATTTTGGGAAGCTCTCCAAGTTGAAATATGTGAACCTTGATTTCAACAATTTAGAAGGTTCTTTGCCCCCATCTTTAATGAATTGTACAAACCTTGTAGAACTACGTGTGCAATCCAACAACTTGGAAGGAGATATCTCCATGCTTGATTTCTCCAGACTTAGTCAACTTACTAAACTTGACATAAGACTCAATAACTTCACTGGTACGTTCCCAATAAGCCTGTACTCATGTCGGTCCCTAAAAGCCATTCGATTGAGCAACAATCATCTAGAGGGACAAATACAAGTTGATATTCTTTCATTGAAATCTTTGTCCTTCCTCTCGCTTGGTTTCAATCGATTCACCAACATCACAGGGGCAATGAAGATATTAATGAGTTGCAAAAGTCTTCACACACTCCTACTTACTGGTTCCTTTAAAGGTGAGGGAATGCCAGGTGATGATGACATGGCTGATATTAATGGATTCCAAAATCTTCGAGCATTGAGTTTCGCTGAATGCCAGCTCACGGGTCAAATACCCATATGGTTGTCAAAGCTCAACAAGCTAGAGATCTTGCTTCTGGGTAGTAATAAAATCACAGGGCCAATTCCAAGCTGGTTGGGGGCTCTTCCTAGACTATATCATGTAAGCTTGCCAAAGAACCGAATTTTTGGTGAATTTCCAAAGCAACTTTGCAAACTACCAAGGTTGGTTTCCGAAGCATCTCAAGACGACACTAGTTATGAATTTGAATTGCCTTTCTTCTTGGGCCCTATAATCACAAACCCAAGTTATTATCTATCGTCGAAATTGTCTTCCTATCCAGCAATGATAGATCTATCTGAAAATAACATTGGTGGTGAGATACCTAATGAGATCGGCCAACTACAGTGTCTCCGCATGTTGCGTCTTGGCTACAACAACTTCTCCGGCGTCATTCCAGACCAAATATCTAATCTAAAAAATTTAGAGGTTTTGAACCTCTCAATGAATCACTTGTCTGGAATAATCCCATCATCATTGGAGACCCTTAATTTTTTGAAAGAACTTAATGTCTCATACAATAATCTCCAAGGACCAATACCAACAAGCACCCAGCTCCAAAGCTTCGATGCTTCTGCCTATGAGGGTAATCCTAATCTTTGTGGTGCCCCACTTCCAAATGAGTGTGGTCGACCAAATAAGATCATTGATGAAGATAATAACAACAACAAAGACGAGGGGAATGGACATCAACTTCCATGGTTTTATATTTCTTCTGTTCTACTAGGGTTTATTGTGGGATTTTGGGGAGTTTTTGGTTATTTAATTTTTAATAAGAGATGGAGGTATGCATCATTTTCTTTCATAGACAATGTACAAAATTGGCTTCATGCGATATAACTGTGAGCATCCCCACGATAAAAAGAAGGTTTCGAGGCTGGGTATATATATTATTGTGCTTTTTATTTTACATTTTCAGTTTGCTTTTCTTTTGTGTTCGTGATGTAATAGTAAGGTACAGTTGGTTCATATAATTCTTCTTTTTTTTTGGATGTGATTTCTGCACGCTACCTTTGCGAGTAACAAATACAACTTCACCAAATGTCCATCATCATTTTCAAAGAAAAATCATCAACATCAAGACAACTTAAGAGTCTGTTCTTGGAGTCATTGTGGACTTTAAAAGAAGGTCTTGTCCCTCTCTCATGGTGGCCCCCTCCTCAAACTCACTAAAGAAAGGCCTTCTTTTTTATTAAGTGCTGCTTGTTTGATATGTTATGTAGAATTTTGTAGTGAGGGTATTATCTAAGGCTCTTAGATGAGGCTCTATCTTTTAACTGTTTGATCAAATTAGTTAGTTTTATTAAACAGTTAAGAGATAGGGTCTCATCTAAGAGCATCTCCAACCGATATGTCAAAAGTGCCACATAGATATTTAACGGCTATAAATAACATCTCACATCACTCCAACCGAATTGTCAAAGCTGATGTGGAATGAAGGTTGGAGGTTCAGCTGTTATTTTTGACATCCCAAAATCAAGATGTCAAATAAATATTTTATTATTTTTAAAGACAGATGGCTGTGACTTTCATTTATAATTTTACTTTTTTTTTCTTCTTTATCTTTAATGATTTGACTGTTATAATAATTATTTATTTGACATATCGGATGAAGTGTAAAGCTATTTAAATATCAAATTGCTACATCAGCCATCAAACTTAAATTTGATGTTTGGTATTTGACATCTCCCTTGGAGATGCTCTAAGAGCCTTAAATAAACCCTCACTATAGAATGACTCGATACATGATATATGTAGCTGAGTCGTTCTATAGGAATTTTATATCTTCTAAGCATTGAGGTTGATAGTGAGATTTTGGGTATTAAGTTTATTTGTGGTCCAATTCTTCAATCTGGAGATCGACAAAAGTCTGAGCCCAATTGTCTTTATTTCTTTTCAAACCCATGACATTGATTTGGCCCAAACACAACTAGAGCTACATATTCTGCATATGCGATTGGGGAAATAAACAGATTTGGCCAAATTCATGAAATATTGCCACGAACCTCTTTTTTATTGAAATTCAATTATGGGGCCTACATTGCGACGACTTTCATGTACTAAAGCCAATTGGTATATCGGGTTTTAGTCATAGAGCCTGCATGGCATAAGAACAAAGGAAACATATTCTCGTACCTCTGCCATTATCATATCATCTTCCTGCGGAATTAGAAGCGTTTTATATAACTCAAACCCTATAAGCATTTAAAAACAGATATTATTCTGAGTACCTTTAGGTATGTTTGGGCATGAAGGCACATCCTGCAAAAAATTAATGCCTTCATGTATGATAAAGCATTTTTTAAAATTTATATATTGTCAATTTATCATGGTCATGCGTACACTATGTATGTCATTGATTACCAACTTAAGTTTCCATAATCCTTATATATATGTGTATTTTTTCTAATAGAATGTTATACACCAAGTAAAGGAATTGTCAACAATCCTATAATGTTGGAGGAGGTCCGACGAATTAATTAATTAAATATTACCACCCAACACACCATTGTCATTATTTGGCAGGAATGGAACATAAATCTCGTAAATGAAATTTTTTATTATTTTTTATTACCATAATCTTCATTACAAAAAGAGAAATTGGAAAATAAAAATTTAATGAAAAGTTTCAATTCTTAATAAATTCATTAATAATTAGTATTTTGAATATTTCACTATTCTTATATATATATATATATATATATATATATTATCAACGGCGTTACTCTTGGTGTAGAGCGCCCCGTGAGACCAATCAGGCTTTCACTTCGGTTTCATTAATGAGTGGAAATCTACATATATGCACTAATGCTGTGGATTATCTACCAGGCTTAACACTAATGTTGGTGTTTTTAGGTGACTTAGATAATATGCTGTCGAGGGAAAATGTTGGATTAATCATGTTTCTGGAGGGTTCATTTCACTGGCATCCATGCACATATATTTGAAATTAGTTGTTCAGTTGAGTCAGCTCAGAAAGTTAAGGGCATGTTTGGTATCCAACTTGAATCCAACTTTTTAAACTCAAAAACAGAATTTGAGTCCAAAACAAAGAAAACATGTTTGGTAGCCTTATTTTCCAAAACTCAGACTCAAGAACAATTAAAAAACACTCCAATGATTAAAAACAAAAAATATCTGTTTTTTCAGTTTTTTTTTTCTAACAACTCACAAGTTCTCAAATTTTTAAGATTTGAAAACAGTTTTTAAGTTGCATACCAAACAAGTTTTTGAATCTTAAAAATAGATTTAAAAACTCCTTGTTTTTAAAAAAAATCAAAATTTTTGAGTTCCCTATTTGAATATCAAACGCCCCCTAAACATAATATATGTCTTTTCTGAGCAAGAAAAGTTTGTTATCGGGTCCATGATTTAGTTGTCAGGGACATGATTTAACGAAAATCTTCCAACATTTTCAATGTGGTTGCCTTCCTTCCGTTGCGGCAAAGTGCTTGGAGTCGTCGGAGACTTTAAAATAATAGGGAGGTCTTGTCCTCTCAACTCCGCCTCCTCTGTAGACCTAATGATTTTCCTTTTTTTATTATTTATAAAATCCCGCGTAAAAGAGGCTAGGTTCTTTTTGAATGAGTCGTGCGTTATATTTTAATGTAGTTGACTTGGGAAGAATGACTATCCTAGCTCCAATTTTTCCAAGAAAATCATCAACAAGAAAACAACTTGGAACTTTGATTTACATGAAAGATGCGTTGGTATCACATATCTGCTACATGCAAGAAAGAAAGGAAACAAGTAACATTTTTTTAATTGCTCCTATGTCTATATGTATCCAAACCTGTGAGCAACGTAAATATAAGAAGAAACAAAAGCTAGACTTGCAGCCGCAGAACCCAATGGCTCATATCTTCCTTCTCATCCTCTTATTCTCTTCCATTATAACTACAAATATTCATGCATGCAAACAAATTGAGCGCACCTCTCCCCTGTTCTTCACCCTCACTCTATCTTCTCCTACTTTAAACTAGACTTTGGTTAACTGTTGTCACTGGGAAGGCATCACTTGTGATGCGGATGGTTGGGTTACCCATTTGCTCTTACCCTCCAAGGGGCTCAAAGGAGGTATGTTTCCTTCATCACTTGGAAATATCACACATCTCGCCCACTTGAACCTCTCAAACAATTCTCTTTATGGTTCACTTGAATTTCGATTCTTCAAGTCCTTAAATCGTCTTCAGATTCTTGATTTGAGCTATAACCTTCTTTCTAGTGAGCTACCACTTTATCTAGGATCCAACAATTATATCCAGAAACTTGATTTCTCAAGCAATCGCTTCCATGGTGCAATCCCATTTTCATTCTTCCAACAAGCTAGGAATTTGACTAGTTTCAATGTCAGCAACAATAACTTCTCTGGGCCTATTCCATCCTCTAATTGTCTCAAACATTCTTCTCCGTTGACTAGGCTTTTGGATTTTTCCTCCAATAAATTTCAAGGCAGCATTTCTCGAGGACTAGGGGAGTGTTCTGAACTACAGGTTTTTCGCGCTAGCCACAATAACCTCTCAGGGTTTCTTCCAGTGGATATCTATGATGCTACCAAGCTTGAAGAATTGGCATTACCTCTCAATTCAATATATGGACCCATTAGTGATAGAATTGTTAACCTCACAAACCTTCCAATCCTTGACCTCTCCATTAATCAATTGAGTGGTGTGCTCCTTATCAATCTTGGGAAGTTGTCCAAGTTGAAACTTCTGACCCTTGGTTATAACCACTTAGAAAGGTGCTTTGCCCCCATCTTTAATGAATTGCACAAACCTCATTGAAATACATCTCGGAGCCAACAACTTGGAAGGAGATATCACCGCACTTAAGTTCTCCAAACTTAGTCAACTTAGTAAAATTTATTTATTTTCGAATGAATTCATCAATAGCTTTCCAACTAGCCTGTACTCATGTCGGTCCCTAAAAGCCATTCAATTGGCTGGAAATCATCTAGAGGGACAAATACAACTTGATATTCTTTCATTGAAATCCTTGTCTTTTCTCTTGCTTGGTTATAACTTATTTACCAACCTCACAAGGGCAATGAAGATATTGATGAGTTGCAAAAGTCTTCGTTTACTCATGCTTACAGGTTCTTTTAGGTGAAGGAATGCCTACTGATCATGAAATAGCTGGCTTTTAAGGATTACAAAATCTTTGATTATTGAGTTTTTTTTATTCTCAGCTCATTGGTTTAATACCTGTATGGTTATCAAAGTTAAAAAGTCTAGAGATCTTGGTTTTGGGTGATAATCAAATCACAGGGCCAATTCCAAGTTGGTTGGGGGCTCTTCCTAGACTATTTTATATAAGATTGGCACACAACCGACTTTCAGGTGAATTCCCAAAGCAACTTTGTAAACTACCAAGGTTGGTTTATGAACGTAATATTGCACCACTTTTCACAACTTCCTCGAGGTCATGAATCTCTAGGATATCCTAAAATTGAGACTTCGAGCACAAATAGTTATTACGATCCATGGGTGTGGAGAAAAGATGACAAATATTGAATGAGGTAGGGAGTGATGATGTTTGGTTGGTCATGGTTGTGGATGAATTGTTTTGTGAGATTAGGGAGTCTACAGAAGAGGAAATAGAAGAAGACTGAGTGGGAGTCGTAGAATCTTGTTAATGTATGCATTTTGCGTTTTTCTTTTGGCTTCCCTTGACAACTTTGTAATAGGATTTGTATTGTTATTTATCAAGCTCAAGTTTAGATTAAGAAAAGCTTCTCTTGGTGTTCTTATCTAACTTATATCCTATGGAGGTTCAAGCAATTTGACAAAGGTATGGTGTGCATTGCATATCATTGTATTAAACTGTTTTTATAAAATGATGACTAGTCATCTGTTTCTCGGATGACTAGTCATCCTTGCTCTGTTGGATTTCCAGCTGGATAACCAACCTCTTTGTCCTATTCTCCTTTCTCTCTCTGTTGCCAAGTGTGATTCTGACCTAAGGGAATTTTTGTCTGTAAAGGCTACGAAATTCCTCTTTGGGCAGCCGTCTCTTTTGTGTGGAAGTTTTGGAAAGATTGGTTTTGCTATCTTTCTCTTCTTCTTCCTCAAGAGAGAACCAAATATTTCATCTATGAGTTTTTCCAATTGATTTCTTATTTGAAAAACTGCATTTGAAACACGAATCTGCATCTAGCTACTTAAATCATTCTCTCATTTATATCTAGGTCAGATTCAAGACTGATTTCTTCAAGAGTATGGTTTCTTGAAGAAATTGGTCATTCTCCTTTGAATCCAAATTTTGGTTTCGGCCTGTGTTGGAGCTTGCAAGCTAGTGCCATGAGATGAACGAGCTGGAGAAGGAGCTGCCATTGCCATGAAGAACTGAGCTTCAAGTTTTGCTAAGTTGGAGAAAAAGATTGCACGAAGGAGGTATAGCTTATATTCCTAAATAGATCTAGGTGTTTCTTGAGCTTGGTTGTGTTTCTTTTGTAAGAATCTTTTTCTACTTAGTGGAGTGCCTAGTCGGTTGATGACTCCCAGTTTTTCTCAATGGAGGGTTTCTGGGTGAACAAACTCTGTTTTGCATATTTGTAATTTTTCTGGGTTTGTGTTCTTGGTGATTGACTAGTCATCTTTATCTGTTGTTTGGTGTTTACTTGATAAAGATGATTTCACACATTTTCACCATAGTTGTTGCTAGCACAGGGGATGCTTAGATTGACGGGTCCTTCTGAGTGCCTAGGTTGTCACTAGTAATCTTCTAGGGTTGCAGGTACTTTGTGGCATGCTCTGTGTGTTCTCTTGATTGTGGTTGTTCATGACTAGCAGTTGACTAGTCATATGTGTATTTAGTCAAGGTCTAAAGTGTTTGAAGATTGTTGTGTTGTTATGTCTTGTTTGTGTTGTTAAATTTACCCCTCGTCACCTAAGTACCAATTTCAATCTAGGATCGAGTGGCTTTAGCCCAGATGGGCTCTGATACAGTATAGAAAAATTAGAGAAGTGAAGAAGAATTAGAACAGAGCAGATATCCACCTAAGATTGTAGAACTTATAGTAACTTCAGTTTTTTGATTTATTATCAGTCCCCACAAGGCAATACTCAAGTGCCTTCTAATCTGAACCTTACCAATGCAAAGTGCAATCTACTAAATTGGACTGCAACAGGGGAAGTAGTTGCAAGGGCAGAAATTGCATCTACTGATCCTACTTCAAAAGTACATCATATTGTACTTGGGCCTAATTTTTATAAAGTTTGGATCAAAGAAATTTTAATCCTCGAAGTACCATTGTTTAGGAGTTCACGTGAGCATTTCTTTCTTGATAATGCAATTGGAAGCACCGTAATTGCTTGGCCGCATAAGTATATCAGCTTTGACTAAAGAAGTTTGAGGTAAATTCAGATTCAAAATCATTTCTTCTATACTATATGAAGGTCTTTCTACCACAATTTAGATTGTCAATTTGTAATTTGTTTATGAAATATTGGCATTATTGGCTTCTACATGAACTAAATAATTTGGTATTCAAATCTTAAACTTGCACATGCCATTGAAATCTTATTAACTGCAATATCTTAGAGTTGTATACTTAGAACAAATGTCAAATCTCTGTTTGCAGAAGAAAAGAACCTTGTACATATAGTGTTGTATACATCTGTTCTACATGGACGCTTGAGGGGTAATTAAGAATCTATATAGTTTTTTATATACTGTTATATGCTGAGCTTTGGAAGTCTGTCTTTGACATGTGAGAAAAAGGTTACCACAAAAACAAACAGAGAATTGTGAAGAAGGGGCAAGTTCGATATATTCTTTGTGAACTCACTGTTTAGTCTCTTGTGTCGTCCCTCCCTTTTTCTTATCTTTCTTTTTTTGTTCTTTTTTCTGTATTCTTGGACCAAGAATTTACGGACCTGGATCATTTTCATTCATGCGTGCTTGTAATTTCTAGACCTTCATTTTCATTTTCTGATCTGTTGTTTTAATGCAGGTAATAGTGGTTGTAATTATTTTAGTACCATTTTCACCTTCTTTTGGACATGAAGCATCACATCCTCTCAAACTATCATGGAGCTCATCCTTTTGGACAGTGCAAGTATCAAATCTTCTCATACTTCCTAAGATTGACTTTGTGGGATTAGTTAAAGACAATTTTTAAACTTGCCATGATGTACTAGAATCATATTGAGTAATATTAATTTAAAGTATATTAGCCTTTATGTCTTCGGTTTTGCTTCTATATATTAATTTCTTTTTGTAGAATTAAAAACGATGGGATATAATATATATATATTAGGAATTTTTTTATAAAAAATTTCAACGACGTCTAACTTTGTGTCATGAAAAATATTTCAATGACGTCTCAAGAACGCCGTTAAATTCAATGACGTGCACGCTGCGTCATATAAAGTGCTAATAGACGATGTTAAAAGGAATGTCATATTCTTAATGACGTCTAATTGACGTCATTAAAACATCATCCATGACATCGTGGACGCGTCATGGAAAGTATAGGACAACACACAAACCGCGTGATTGAAACATCTTTTTATGACGCGTAACAGACACCATGTTTTTAAAAACGTTTCCATGACCTCCCCTCCCCTTTCGACGACGTGTGTTATGGCATCTCGTTCGCATCATTAAACACCTTCCATGACCCAAATCAGACATCATCGAAGAGTTTTTGTCTTGTGGTGATCTTAATTAATTTTTCACACCATAATTGACCCATATTTCGTCCTACATCATATTCATTCAAATATCATCTCTACAAAAAATCACTTGAATCCGATATCATTTAACAACTCAATTAAATTTTTAAAATTTAAGTACTTTCTTGAAGCACCGTATTCATTGATTTTGTTGGTCTCAATTAGATGCCTTAATGATTTTCAATTTGCATGAATTTTTGCAAGGATGATCTATGAATAAAGATGTGAAAAATAGATATTTTGGATTGTTGAAAAAAATTTAGTCTAGTAGTACTTTTCTTTCCAATGTGTTTGAAGAGGTGTCAAGTTGAAATCTCTCTACTTGGTTTATTAAAAAGAAAAATAGAAAGAGAAAGGTATATCTTAAATAAAAAATTCTTAAAACTTAGTTAAGTTATATATGTATTCATGTATATATTTTCCTTCCCTTCTCTAAATGCAAATGCAGAAACTCCTGAAGTTGTAGAAATTTACTTATATTGATGATTAGAATCAATAATTATTCATTTTTACTGAACCAACTCCAGCTACCTAGCTATAAGGTGGGAGAATAGGGCAAATGGTGCATATGGACTACCGGTGGAGTCGTTTCGTTTGACAAGAAGAAAACATTGAAAATGGAGCGCCAAGGTGAAGGAGGTGACCTTCTGCATCTTTACTCTGCTAGTAAAATTTCCAAATAGTAACAGTAGTGTTGTGGCTACGTGCCTGGTGGCAGGAAATTAATTTATTAGAATAAACGACCAAATTTGGTCTCGTTCATCATGATTCATGGTTAACCGCGTACGGTGCACCCTTGAATTGATTGGGACGCTAGCTGAACGTCGTGGGGCGGTTTATTGGACCTTTGGAATGTTCAAAATTCATCTAAGATATATATCTATATAATTTACTTTTTCTAATTTATGCTATATTTGGTCCAAAGGTCTTGCTAGACCGCAAAGGAAAAAACATGCTGAGGCTTGTGTTTTAGCTTATAATATGTTCATACTTGTACTCAATTTTTAGGGTTTTCCCTTCGTTCTTGGACAGAGGTGGGGATGATAAAGCTCAGGTCGGCTCCAGAAACTGCAGATATGATGAACAGAACAAGTGTTGTGGCTTCCGGCCTTGGGCTTCCCTTTCGCTACTGGGTTCTGGTCTTACAACTGCCTATAATGTTTTTCTTTTTTTTGAAGAAAAGCAAAAGGCAAAGTATGTTATATATGTGGGCACAAAGGAACCTTGCAGAGTTAAGAATGGTGCGGGGAGACATTCGAGATCAAGGTTTAACAGGCTGCTGCCAAGCCAACGTAAAATTATATATTGTATATATACTACCAACAAAACTCAAACAGAAAACGTAAAATTATAGACAACATCGATCCTAGGTATAACCAAACGTGCCCAACTCCCCGATAGCATCTGCACTCAACCCACAGACAGCATTTGGACGGGGAGAAAAAGAGAAAGCTCATGAAACATTGAGCAATTTAGAATTTAGTTGTACATAGTCCAATTTAACTATATTTTGGCACGCGCCCCATGACTTTCTTGCATTCCATTCTGGTCGATTGGATAAGCCTCTTCAGTGGGGAAAAAAGGTCTAAGCAGATCAACATTACTAATTAAAGTCTGTGTTAGCAGCCGAAATATCCGGATTTCATTTAGAAATCTAACCAAAGTTTACATCTGCAGTTCGCATGTAATTACGCAGAAAATTACTATGGAAAGAAAGGTTGAGGCTTAGAACCCATTTTTCTAAAGTAATTTTGGTGGGCATCGGCTTGACTGTTACTTGAAGAGGTTTTGATGGTTAAAAGTCATACAAAAACCAGTCATTTCTTTGGAGGTTTTGAGGTTTTGTCAGGTACTAAAGCATAAGAATCCGAAATATTTGGAGGGTGTTTACATCTGCAGTCCGAACGTAATTTCGCAGAAGATTACTTTAACGTTGAGGTCTTGAACCCTTTTAAAAAATTTTGTTGGCTCCGGCTTGACTGGTTTCTTGACGGAGACAAAAACCACGCATGTCTTAGTGCAGGGGTGATCCGCCCACAGACTACTTAATTAATTAATCTGATCAAATATATGTGGGATCTCACTGGAAATGGACTACTTAATCCCATCCAATTAGAGAGTAATTACAATAATCTCATCGTTTTCCCTTTTAGTCTTAGTTAGAGGTTCATTAATTTGCTTTTTCAAAGCCTCAAACAGTAATTATACAGAACTCTCATGCATATGCTTTAAGGTACGGTTAGAGGTTAGGTTCATTATCATTTGAATCATTTGAGGCTCACAGACCCTTCTCAAGTTTGCAGAATTTGGTCTGCATGCTTCCATTTGATTTTTGTGTAGAAGATTCTTAAGGCTTGACCTTTCTCAGAAAAGCTGTCATTTACCTAAAAACACACAATTATCAAATTGAAACAACCTCTTTTTCTATTCCCTAGCTCTCTCTTTTTCTACTATGCATCACTCACTTGAAACCTTTTTCTCTGATCAAGTCAGGTTTTTCTTTTTTACCCTAAAGTTGGCTGGGCAAAGTTCGTCAGTTTTCTTTGTGGTTTTATTGAAACAACCAATCAATCAAGTCTTCTAACCCTAACTGTGCAATTATTGCCTAATCCATCGTTTATTTGTGGCTGATTGTGGGTTGTTTATTGATAATTTTTTTATAAATATTGAGAAATATATATTTGATACTGTTCATGAAAATTTCAAACTAGTTGATGTCCTTTGTAAGTATCTTGGAATTAATGATTTATGAGTCAATACTAAGGATTTATGATCCCCATGATAGTTTTCCACCACTTTCATTTTCTAAGCGAGCTCAATATTTATGAGTCAATGCTAAGCATGTGTTAATTGCTAAATTGTACAGTATAAGTCTGATAACACGAGCTCCGCGTAAAAAAAAAAAAAAAAAAAAAAAAAAAAAAAAAGAAACGAGTGCTGCTAACTTTCTTAATTTACTTTATGATTGGATTTTTTTTTTTTTTTTTTTTTTTTTTTTTTTTTTTTTTTCCTATGAATCCTATAGGATTAATACTTGATTCCACTTATGTCTAACAAACAAGCCCCCAATTTATCTAAAAAAATTTTGGTATTATATTATACAAAGATGTGTTAGTAGTACTTTGCATGAAAATTTTAGGTATTATATCATCTGTATTAATGTATGAAGGGCTCCATTTTAAATAGAAACCTGCCTTATAGACGTACTGAATAATTTGCAGAAGCCCATTTAAGGCTTTCAGCCAGCTTTAAGTCTTTAGTTGGATCAGAACGTACACCTTGTGGCTGCTGTACTGAATCATGGCCTGGTGCAGTCTCACATTAACTGTCTTCGTTGTTTTTTCAATCTTAATATGGAGTACTTGCACTTGTGGTGCAAGTGGCACGGACACACTTAAACCAGGTGAGACTCTATATTACTCGAGCTTCTTAGTTTCTGCGAACGGGAAGTTCACTTTGGGGATTTGGACCTGTTTATGATGCGGATTTGGAACATTGGAATCAGGACAAGAAATAGCTGTGAAAACGCTTTCAAGATGTTCAGGGCAAGGAACATTCGAGTTTAAGAATGAATTACTACTCATATCTGAACTTCAACATACGAATCTTATTCGTCTATTTGGATTTTGTATTCATAACAAAGAGAGGATGTTATATATGAGAATATGCCAAACAAAAGTTCGGACTACCTTTTATTTGGTTGAGAACACACAAACACATCTATTTCTTATTTATTTTGAAGTACGTACGTTGTGTGATATATATTACTCATTTTCTAACTCTATTTTAGGTATTGATCCAACTAGAGGCCGATTACTAGATTGGAAGGCGCGTTTCGGCATAATTGAAGGAATCGCTCAAGGATTGCTTTACCTTCACAAATACTCAAGATTGAGAGTAATTCATAGAGATCTAAAAGCTAGTAATATACTACTTGATGAACATATGAACCCTAAAATCTCTGATTTTGGTATGGCAAGGGCATTTGTCCATAATGAACTGGAAGCGAATACTGATAGGATCGCTGGGACATTGTAAGTAAATAATACATATTCTTAATTAACATGCATATGTATAATTTCACTTTTGGTTGTTAATCATGCATATATATATTTATGCGTACTAATTTTTATTTTTATTTTTATCCATTTGGAGTAGAGGTTACATGTCTCCTGAGTACGTCATGGAGGGAATTTTCTCCCCACGATCTGATGTCTACAGTTTTGGAGTACTAATGCTTGAAATCATATGTGGTAGAAAAAACAGCAGCTTCTACCATGATGATCATGTGATCAGTATAGTGGGTTATGTACGTCAAACACATATATACCATGTGTGATAAAATCTTCAGGTGTGAGATTATGATATCCTAAATGAATTAATTTGATGATCTTGTTACATCAGGCATGGGAGTTATGGAAAGAAGGGGCAGGGCTAGAACTTATGGATCCAACACTAGGCGAGTCATGTGTTAGGGATCAATTGTTGAGATGCGCCCAAGTTAGTCTATTATGCGTGGAGGAAAATGCCGACGATCAACCGGCGATGTCAGATGACAAAGCCAGCATTTTTCACAAAAAGAAGAATGGTAGGCCGGGGTGGCGTGGGCGGAAATGATTTGGAACTTATATCAATAAATGGCTTGTCTAATTCGGATTTGGAGGGACGTTAAAAGCACTAATATATATTTGGTTGGCCTCAGTTATACTAGTTTATAAAATTGTAAAGAATAAAGATATGATGATATGTTCGGAGCTTGATCTTCAGGTGATGCTGGCTATATATGTGAATTTCCAAAATTATTTATTTTAGAACTATGTTATTAACAAGGCACTAGTGTCAATATCGTAATGTCAGCTTCTATATTTTCCACGTAGGTTATCATACATGGTTTATCCCTAATGTAATTTTTTTTTGGTTGGGTTTATTATCCCTAATGTCTGAAGTGGGTAAAAGATGAGAGAACCAATGCCACCATTGTGAGTAACGTTTATGGACGAATATTTCAATTTAAAAATTATTCTATTTAAAGATGTACGTTGGTTAGGATGACCCCCCTGTCTGTACTCAAATTCGAATTTTCCTCTTTTTAAATTAAAATAATTTAAAATAATATAGACTATATCATTTGTATGAAATATATATGTATATATGATATAGTACATTTAATCACGCAATGCGTCCTACAAAATTTGAGAACGTTCGAACACCAATTAACGTCTAAAAATTCATTTACATTTTTAAAAATGAAATATTGAAAAAGAAAAAAAAACTTTACAATTAAAAAAAAACCGAAACATAAATAAATAAATAATTGTAGTTCTAATAAAATATACCAACTTTGTTCAAATGATTTTCCGTACAAATAGCAAAACCTTTATTGGCATGTGTCACCATCATACGTTATTCCAAAGATTACATGTGGCAACATCTCATATATAAACGAGCGAAAGGAGCTGTACCCATAAAAACGAGCCAATTAATCGACTCGTTCGTTAATCAAACTGAGTACTGTGCAGTGTACCTGAGAATCACCAAAGAAATTACTGGTTTTTGTATGACTTTTAACCATCCAAACCTCTTCAAGTAACAATCAAGCCGGTGCCCAACAAAATTACTTTCGAAAAAAGAAGCCTCAACCTTTCTGTCTATAGTAATTTTTTTATCCATAGTAATCTGACCGAAATGTCCGACTTTAATTAGTAAAGTTGATCTGCATTTAGACCTTTTCTTCCCACCGAAGAGGGCGGCTTATCCAATCGACCAGAATGGAATGCAAGAAAGTCATGGGGCGCGTGCCAAAATGTTTCAAGAGCTTTCTCTTTTCTCCCCGTCCAAATGCTGTCTGTGGGTTGAGTGCAGATGCTGTCGGGGGGTTGGGCACGTTTGGTTATACGTAGGATCGATGTTGTCAATAATTTTATTTATACTTTTACTTCTGCCTACCAAGTCGTACTACGTTTTCTGTATGAGTTTTGTTAGTAGTTTAAACCTTAATTACCGGCAGCAGCCTGTTAAACCTTATGTTACTTTTGATCTCGAATGTCTCCCCGCACCATTCTTGACTCTGCAAGGTTTCCTTTGTGCCCACATGTTACATGTATATATATAAAATAAGTACAAGTATGAACATCCCCACCTCTGTCCAAGAACATAAGGAAAACCCTAATAATTGAGTACAAGTATGAACATATCATAAGCTAAAAAACAAGCCTCAGCATGTTTTTTTGTTTAAGAAAAAAACGTTAAGGGGCACTATTTTGAGCGCATGAGTGACAGCAAGACCTTTGGACCAAATACAAAAAGTATATTATATAAAATATATATCTTCATTAGATGACAACTACTCAGAATGAATTCAAATCTCTTACTACTTCTGAACATTCCACAATCCAATAGACCACCCCACGACGTTCAACTAGCGTCCATTGGTTCGCCGCCCCGCCTTTGCGTCCTACGCGGCTAACAACGAATCATGATGAACAATACCAAATTTGGTCATTTATTCTAATAAATTAATTTCCTGCCGCCAGGATACGTACGTAGCTACAACACTAGTGTTACTAATTTGGTAATTATACTAGCAGAGTAAAGATGCAGAAGGTCACCTCCTTCACCGTGATCCAAACGAAACAACTCCACAAGCAATCCATGCACAGTTCTCCCACCTTATAGCTAGGTAGCTGGAGTTGGTTCAGTAAAAATGAATGATTATTCATTCTAATCATCGATGATATAAGTAAATTTCTACAACTACAGGACTTTTAAGAAGTTTTGATTTAAGATATACCTTTCTCGTTCTATTTTTCCTTTTTAATAAACCTAGAGGGATTCCAACTTGACACCTTTTCAAACATATTGGAAAGAAAAGTACAGCTAGACTAAAAAAATTTCAATGATCCAAAACATCTATTTTTCACATCTTCATTCATAGATCATCCTTACCATCTTAAACATGATTAATAAGTAATCTAGTTGGCCCTCCTTGTGAAATTCTTCACATAATCATTTAAATGAAAGAAGGAGTTTTTCAAACCTATATAAACCTTATGTGGGTGCAATTAGAAAACAATGTCTGAAACAATTGAAGAAGATATCCTCATATTTGAAAGCAAGAAACAAGAAAAGTACGTAAAACTTTATGCAAATTTGGGTAACTAGAGAAATAGATTGAGGGGAGGCTCTCTAAAATTATTAATATATAGTTAGCACGCATACAATTGAATTAGTGGGGTTGTTTACCATTTTTCTTCCAGTCGGTATTAATCATGGCTAGGTGTTTCTATTTGATTTTTTTGTTCTTTTTAATCGCTTATTGGAGCTGTTATTTTTTGGTCGGTATTGGAGCTGGTATTCATCATGGCTAGGTGTTTCTAAGTGACGTTCTGCTATCCTGATCAGTCTGGCTCAGAGACAATTCCAAGGTATGTTTTGCATCCATGCATTCACATTTGCATATTTGCAAGTTCATCAAAAGTGGCTGTCATATGTACAGGACTTGTTAAGTCTATGTTTTTTAAAGTTTTTTTTTTTGGCTTCCCTTGACAATATTGTAATAGGACATACATTGTAATTACCCAAGCTCAAGTTTAGATAAAGAATAGTTTCGCTAAGTGTTCTTATCTAGCTACTATCTTATGGAAGATCAATCATATTGGCAAAGGTAATTTGTGCATTGCATCATATTGCATTCATTAGATTCTTAAGATTATGAGTAGTGATCTTGTTTTCATATGACTAGTCATCCTTTGTGTCAGTAGGATTTCCAGCTCACTGGTTTCTAGCTGGATCCAAACAAACATTTTTGTCCTATTATGCGAATTTTTTCAGCTGCCATGTGTACTATTCTGACCTAAGAATTTTTGAGTAAAAGTAAAATGATTCGTCATTTTCGCAGCCGTCACTTTTGAGGAGAAGTTTTGAAAAGGTTCTTGCTAACTTTTTGTTCTTCTTCTTCCTCAAGAGAAAGCCACCATTTTCATCTATGAGTTTTCTAAATTGATTTTTTGAAATATGAAATCTGCATCTAGCTAAAACAAACACATTCTCATATATATATATATATATATATATGTGTGTGTGTGTGAGATTCAAAATTGGTTTCCTTCAAGAGTATGATTTCTTGAAGAAATTGGTAATTTTTCCTTGAATCCAAATTTTGGTTTCTGTTTAAGTTTGAGCTGCCTGGTGCCATGGGATAAAAGAGCTGAAGAAGGAGCTGTCATTGCCATGAAGGACTAAGCTGCTAGCATTGCTAAGTTGAAGAAGAAGATTGCACAAATGAGGTATAGCTTATCTTCCTAAATAGATCTCGGATTTCTTGAGCTTGCTTGTGTTTCTTTGTAAGAATTTTCTTTGCTTAGTGGATTGTCTGGTCGGTTGATGACCCCTGGTTTTTCTCAGTGGTGGGTTTCTGGGTGAACAATTTCTTGTTCGCAGATCTATTATTTTCTGGGTATGTGTTCTTGACAGTTGACTAGTCATCGCTTGATGTTATGCATTTCTAGGTTTGTGTTATTGCGGTTGACTAGTCATCATTATCTTCCATTTGCTGTTTATTTGATTATGATGCTTTCATACACTTTTACTATAGTTGTTGCTAGCACAGGGGATGCCTAAATTAACAGGTCCTTCTGAGTGCCTAGTGTCACGGGATGAGCGAGCGGCGCGGCGCGGCGGAAGCGAAACACAAATTTCGCCACTCAAAGCACACCCGTGCGGCCTAGGATCCCATCAAATCCCAGTCAGCCTTCTCCCACTTCATGATATTCAAGACTCTCACAACTCCGCGAGAGGTTCCCCTTCAAGTGTCGTCTTCCCCTAGACAACGAGTCACACTACCATGTGACAATACAATCACTCCACATCCGGCAACGAACCCTCGACGCCCATACATCAAGCGCTGCATAAGACACGTCAACTGCATCGACCACATCGCATGCTTAACTCCTGGCTCGCTCATGTCCAAGTCAAGACATAGCGATCCAACACACCATCGGTTTACCCACACTTCTGTCGGTCATTCCTTTAGCGTCCACGATAGCCCACGTCCTCAAGCTATACACGCAAGTTGTCATACTTGCATATCGCCCAAGCCTTGGCGACAGATGTCTTCCGAATGTCCCACATAACCATCTATGCATTGCATGGGGTCGCAACCCATGCGTACCGGCATCCGAATATCTTCCTTCCATCTTAGACAAGGCCGAACCCAAGCCAAGTCCATTGAGTATTGTCAAATGCCTCGCTAGCCGATGGCATAGCGAATGCCATACGTTGACCTCACTCTTTACAACGATGCGCAATACGAACAGCCCCGCGTGTCCGTACTGTCCTCAGGAATTCCTTTCCCTCGGAGACACAGATTATCCTTCAACAATCTTATGCCCGCCCTTATGACTACCTCCAATGTCATAAGGATGCTCGCTTAGTGCCACAAGGGTGTAAGCACTAGGGGTGGTGGAGAGCATGATACCATGTCACCCCCCTATATAGCATTTTATGCATTTAGCCTTCTGCCAAGAGGGAACATCACCTATGCACGAGGAGTCATAATTGGGCATAACTCCCTCATACGAACTCCGAATGGCGAACCGTCAGTTGCATTTCCTGCGTCTCGACATCACGAACATTTCGGTATTCTTGGTTCCCTCAGGTTCCTCCCGTAACCTTCGGAAATACCCAAAATACCCTTCACAAGTGCAACCTGGCCAACACCAACCATTCTAGCTCTTAAGCTCTCGCCCTTTCACGCTTAGACTACCTCTTAAGCGCATAGATGTCCCAACGGAGTCACGGTAGCACTTGTCTATGTGCGACCCGTGACACTAGGTTGCCACTAGTAATCTTTTAGGCTTGCAGGTACAGTTAGTTATGCTCTGTATGTGTGTTCATGGTTATGGCTTTAATGACTACCCATTATCAGATAATAGATCTTATTTTGTGGAACACAACTATCCATTATTTTTTTAATTTTAAAATAAAATAAATTTTTTTTTAAAAGCCTCTCGTAGGTGTTGAAGTACGTGCGGAGAGGTTAGTGACATAAAATATAAAAAGAATTCAAAAGGACTATTCCTAAGCCACATGATGAGCTGTCCTCATGTCGTTGGTCTCGTGAGCTGTCCTCTTGCGGGAGCTTGGTTGCCCTTATTGTTTTTAAGGGTACAACTCCTTTTGCTCGTTTATAAATGTCTGTTAAAAAAAAAAATATTTTTGTTGAACTCTATATGAGATGTTGCCATCTGTAATCTTTGTAATAACGTATGATTGTGACACATGCCAATAAAGGTTTTGCTATTTGTACAGAAAATCATTTGAACGAAGTTGGTATATTTTATTAGAACTACAATTTTTTTTTAATTTAAATTTTATGTTTTTTTTTTAATTGTAATGTTTTTTTTTCTTTTTAAATATTTCATTTTTAAAAATGTAAATGATTTTTTAGACGTTAATTGGTGTTCCAACGTTCTCAAATTTTGTAGGACGCATTGCGTGATTAAATGTACTATAATATATATATATATATATATTTCGTACAAATGATATAGTCTAAATTATTCTAATTTAAAAAGAGGCAAATTCAAACTTGGCTCCTTGACCAACGTACATATTCAAATGGAATAGTTTTTAAATTGAAATATTCGTCCATAAACGTTACTCGCAATGGGGGCGTTGGTTCTCTCATCTTTTACCCACTTCAGACATTAGGGATAATTCCAACCATCCCACACCAAAAAAAAAAAAAAAAAAAAAAAAAAAAAAAAAAAAAAAAAAAAGAAATAGGAGGGAAGAATAAGAAAAATATAGAAGCTGACACATTGACACTAGTGACACTTGCTTAATAACATAGTTTTTAAAAGAAATAATTTTGGAAATTCTCATATAGACAGCATCACCTGAAGATCAAGCTTCGAATATATCATCATATCTTTATTCTTTACAATTTTATAAACTAGTATAACTGAGGCCAACCAAATATATATTAGTGCTTTTAACGTCCCTCCAAATCCGAATTAGACAAGCCATTTATTGATATAAGTTCCAAATCATTTCCGCCCACGCCACCCCGGCCGACCACCCTTCTTTTTGTGAAAAATGCTGGCTTTGTAGGTGTAGGTAATGGCACACCTTCATTTGTCAACATAGATATGATATCTGACATCGCCGGTAGATCGTCGGCATTTTCCTCCACGCATAATAGACTAACATGGACGCATCTCAACAATTGATCCCTAACACATGACTCGCCTAGTGTTGGATCCATAAGTTCTAGCCCCCCTTCTTTTCATAACTCCCATGCCTGATGTAACAAGATCATCATGTTAATTCATTTAGGATATCATAATCTCACACCTGAAAATTTTATCGAACATGGTATATATGTGTTTGACGTACATAACCTACTATACTGATTACATGATCATCATTGTAGAAGCTGCTGTTTTTTCTATCACATATGATTTCAAGCATTAGTACTCCAAAACTGTAGACATTTCTCGTATATTAACATCCTCTCTTCGTTATGAATGCAAAATCCAAACAGACGAACAAGATTCGTATGTTGAAGTTCAGATATGGGTATCAATTCATTCTTAAACTCAAATGTTCCTTGCCCTGAACATCTTGAAAGCGTTTTCACGGCTATTTCTTGTCCTGATTCCAATGTTCCCTGAATTAATGGTACAAAATATAAGACATTTCTTGGAAATCGATATAAAAATACTTTCAATAGGAATCAAACTTACCTTATAAACAGGCCCAAATCCCCCCTCACCAAGCTTGTTTTCAATGGAGAAGTTGTCTGTGGCAGCCACAACAGATGCATAGCTAAATACTCTTAAATCGTGTTCCATCATTCCGTCATTCTGAAGCCCGTTGACATTGTTGTCCGTCAAGTCGAGCAATTCATTCTCAATCATTGTCTCTATTAAGATTAATGATGAAAATCAAAATTTTTGTTTGTCAGAGATGAGAATCATTCTGTCAATATTTTTGTTTGTACATGTTTTGTATAAACGGATGCACATTAAGTTTAAAGAAAGTATACCGACGTATAAATTTTCTTCTCCTTAGTAAATAGCACACGATCCAAAGCACCCCTGCCAATAGAGCAGCAGTACTGCCAGAGCCAATCCATAACCACTTCTTATGTGCTACATCTAGAGATCGTAACATTTAATTAGCTATACATGTATTTTGTTCGAAGACGCTGGTTTTATATTAACTGTTCAAATTTAAGTAAAGCATAGCACATTTTGGTCCCTGATCCTAACTTTCAAATTATAGTCTGCCACACAAATGACCAAAAAAAGAAAAGACTGTTGAAAAGAAAACAAAGAAAAATTCTTGCATGTATGCCTGTAATGATTATCTTAGAAAAATTAATTTTACTGCCTGTAATGATTATCTTAGAAAAATTCATTTTACTTACAAGAGCGGGTTGCCTCTGTTGTTTGTACAAAAACCCTTGTATTATTATCAGAGAGATAGTCTTCAATGAACTTCCAGATTCAAGATTGATTTCTTCAAGAAAATGGTTTCTTGAAAAAATTGGTCATTTTCTTCTTGAATCCAAATTTCATTTTTGTCTGAGTTGGAGCTAGCTAACTGGTGCCATGGGATGAAAGAGTTGAAGAAGGAGCTGTCAATATTGCCATGAAAGACTAAGCTGCTGGTTTTGCTAAGCTAGAGAAGAAGATTGCACAAAGGAGTTACAACTCATCTTCCTAAATAGACCTAGGATTTCTTGAACTTTCTAGTGTTTCTTTTTAAGAATCCTTTTGCTTAGTGGATTGCCTGGTCGTTGATGACCCCCAGTTTTTCCTAATAGTGGGTTTCTAGGTGAACAATTTCTGGTTTGTATCTCTGTAATTTTCAGGGTTTGTGTTCTTGATTGTTGACTAGTCATCGCATGATGTTCATGTATTTCTGGGTTTGTGTTCTTATGGTTGACTAGTCATCATTTTCTGATGTTTGGTATTTACTTGATTATGATGTCTTCACTCACTTTCATCATAGTCGTTGCTAGCACAAGGGATGCCTAGATTGATGGGTTCTTCTGAGTGCCTAAGTTGTCACTAGTAATTCTCTAGGCTTGTAGGTACATCTTGGTATCTATGTGTATATTCTTGGTTGTGGTAATTCATGTCTGACAGTTGACTAGTCATAAGAGTATTTGGTCAAGGTCTAAAGTGTGTGAAGTTTGTTGTGTCTTATTTGAATATCATTTAAATTTACCCCTCATCACCTAAGTACCAATTTCATATATGACATCATCTAAGAGCCTTAGATAAACCCTCACTATAGAATGACTCGATATGTGATATATGTAGTTGATTCGTTTTATGGGAATTTTATATCTTCCCCGCATTGGGGCCCATGGTGAGATTTTGGGTATTAAGTTTATTTGTGGTCCAATTCTTCAATCTGGAGATCGACACAAGTCTGAGACCAATTGTCTTTATTTCTTTTTAAACCCATGACATTGTGGCAAATCAGTTCTGGCCCAAACACAGCTAGAGCTACATATTATGCATATGCGATTGGCAAAAACAACAGATTTGGCCAAATTCAAGAAATATTGACACGAACCTCTCTTTTTTGGAAATTCAGTTATGGAGTCTACATTACGACGAATTTCATGTATTAAAGCCAAACTAATATTTTAGTGCGAATTTGATCATCTGGTTTTACTCATAGAGCCTGCATGGAATAAGAACAAAGGAAAGACATTCTCGTACCTCTGCCATTATCATATTATCTTCCTGTAATTAGAAGCATTTTATATAACAAACCCTATAAGCATTTAAAATCAGATATTATTCTAAGTACCTTTAAGTTTGCTTGGGCATGAAGGCATATCCTGCAAAAATTTAATGCCTTCATGTATGATAAAGCACTTTTAAAGTTCATAGTCAATTTATCATGGTCATGTATACGCCATGTCAACTTATAACTACAAATATTACTAAGTGATATGGCAACTACTCTTATAAGGCACATCACATTTCCCTCCCCAACTGATATGGGATTGCTCACCTATCTTGCTTCTTATCAAACTGACGGGTCTTACACAGACACGTTCCACAGATTTATTGAACTGATATTGTGGCATTTGCAATTTATATAATGAATCACTTGCCATCTCGAGCTCTTGATTTTCGAACCCGTCTGGATGTATTATCTGCACATGTATTCATATCTTAAGAAGAACCAATGGACTAAGTTGGAACCATGAGACTTATGATGTGTGCTATGCCCTTAACCAAAAGGGATATCGGTGTTATCATCCTCTCTCTTGTCACACCTATGTGGCTATGCAGATGACTTTTCTAGAGACTAAAATGTATTTTGGTGGAGCAGTATCCCAACATAGTCTTTAGGAGGAGATGAAAACTTTTGAAGAGCTAAGCGGGATGACTGCTGAGGTTGATTGACCATACTAATCGACAAAGTTGAGGTCGAATCGATTGAAATGACAGAATGAATTGAAAATGTCGGATGGACTGGATCGACACTTTATTAAGGACAAGTTAAAGGCTGAATTAGTGACCATGCCTTTCGTGAATTTTGAGAATTAACTGGCGGATATTATTAGTAAAGCATATTCAGGTAAGGTGTTTATGATGCACTTGGTACGTTTGGCATTGGAGATATTTATGTACCGACTTGAAGGGGAGTATTGACATTAGTCTTATTTAGGATAGGATTGATGATTGACTAATTTGTAGTCAATTACTAATTATAATTAGGTTTTATTGTATAGTTCTTTTCATGGAAGATAAGTCTTTGTACCCTATATAGAGACCTCCATTTGAACACACTGAAATTTACCCAAGAACTCTTTTTGGCTGATATTTTATATGATATTCTTTTCTTCTGTTGGTCTTTTATGCGTGAAAGAAAATGCAGCCAAACGTCCTATCATGTCTTATATCGTATGGAACATCACTTCAGCTTGGACTTGCTGAATTTATATATATTTATTTGTTTTAAATTGACAATCTGTAAAGATTTACCTAACACGGGATGAAGATGAAAGAGAATTTCTTTTTTTCTTATCGTTTTTGTTGACCAGAAAAGTTTTCTTTCTAATTCTATGATATAATAAACTTCTGGTCAGAAATAACACATATCATATCTTAAATGTTTCTATTTACACGTTTATATCATTGGAATAAAAAAGAGAAATTAACCTAATTGTAGTATTATATGTTAGCGGCTACTTTCCTTCTATTCCACTTGATCTGGTCATTCCACCTTTTTTAATTTATGTGGAAAACTTGAAATCGTTGAATATTATGCTAATACAAATGGTAGAATCCTACGCGAGTATTAAGCCACACTCCTGGGCTTTTTTTCTTTCTTTTTTATACAAGCGAAATTGAAAGACAAGAATTTTTAAATTTTTTTTATTTATTATAAGTGATAGTTTAAATTTTAATCATAAGTGAGGAGGATTTCTCACATACACAACTATAATGCCGTGGGGTTTCAAACTTAAAACCTCTGGTTTGTAAGTTAAAGTCCTTTTTCATTGGGTTAGACTCCGTTGAAAAAAGACATGAAGGTTAAACACAAAACTCTGTGTGCAAGTCGCTTAAACACTCACAAGGCAGAAACTGAAAATTTTATTCAGTAAGGATCAATATCAGAAACAAGTAATTATGTTCATTTCAATATTATATCATCCTTGACAAAGTGCTCCTGTCATTATTTCTGAAGTTTCCTGGTGCTCTATCTTAGCTTCATAGCTAACTTGATTGTCCAAGGATTCTTAATTATAAGAAGACGCCATAATGCAGATTAGTCACCAGTTTCTTCTTTTTCGTAATCACTTTGTTTATGGTCTATTATTTTATGTGAGCACAAAATATAGTATCATGGTTAGTACGTACATTCAAGCCTAATAACTTGTCATTATTTCACATTCAGCACCTTCAACCTTTATCTTCTCTCTTTTTGTCTCAAACCTCAGTTGCTGAGCAGTCACTGATTGGCAAAATCCTACAACAGCTAAGGGTTCATTGCAATTGCAGTTAAGCTATAGTACAACTTTCATTCTTTCTACACAAGAAAATTAGTTTTTCGGAGATATATATACAGATACCTGAGTTAAGGGATCCCTCAAATAAGCTTGTGGGGTCCATCCACATTGTATTTTCAAAATCCAAAACATCTATTTTTTAGGTATTCCTTCAAAATTTTATTTGACCGGTCAATCAATGGTTGTAGTCTTAGCATTTTCTTGAGCCATCCGAATCGTCAATTTTGTGATCACAACTAGATACCTTAATGGTTTTTGACTTTCCTAATTTTTTGGAAGGATAATATTTAATGAAGGCTTAAAAAATGTACGGTTTGGATCGTTGAAATAAAATTTGTATCCAATCCTACAAGGCGTCCTTCAAATAATATATATATATATAAAGAGTTAGGATCATGGGACTCACATTATAACACACATTTTTTTAAATAATGGGTCCATTCATTTATACTTTTGTTAATTAGTAGAGAGTTGGATTTAGTTTCAGGACTTACCTCTGGAAAGCAAATTTAATACACGATCAAATATTTATTTGGGTTGACTAAATAAAATCCCCTCAATTTTGGTGATCTTTTCAAATTAATACCTGAATTTCTAATACCCTACAAATTGGTACACCAACTTACAAAAACTACACAAATGAGACACTTTATTATACCCAGATCGTTTATTGATATGGCAAACGTGGCCCCAATTTTTCTACTCATGTGGATCCTATGTAGACAAAGCAAATAATAAACAATTTTTTATTTTTTTTTAAAAGTAAAATTAAATCAAATTAATTAAAAAAATTAAAAAAAAATCTCTCTCCTCCCCTCCCTCCCCTCCTGCCGTTCCCCACACCAATCACGCCAGCAATGGCATCAATAGAGCTGAGGGATTGGAATTAATAATCATTCATTTTTACAGAACCAACTCCAGTAAAATTACCAAGAAGAAAACATTGAAAATGGAGCACCGAGAAGGAGGTGACCTTCTGCATCTTTACTCTGCTAATAAAACTACCAAATAGTAACAGTAGTGTTGTGGCTACGTGCCTGGTGGCAGGAAATTAATTTATTAGAATAAACGACCAAATTTGGTCTCGTTCATCATGATTCATGGTTAACCGCGTACGGTGCACCCTTGAATTGATTGGGACGCTAGTTGAACGTCGTGGGGCGGTTTATTGGACCTTTGGAATGTTCAAAAGTCATCTAAGATATTTATCTAAATAATTTACTTTTTCTAATTTATGCTATATTTCGTCCAAAGGTCTTGCCGGACTGCAAAGGTGTTTTAGCTTATAATATGTTCATACTTGTACTCAATTATTAAGGTTTTCGTTTCGTTCTTGGACAGAGGTGGGGATGATAAAGCTCAGGTCGGCTCCAGAAACTACAGATATGATGAACAGAACAAGTGTTGTGGCTTCCGGCCTTCGGCTTCCCTTTCGCTACTGGGTTCTGATCTTACAACTGCCTATAATGTTGTTCTTTTTTTTGAAGAAGAGCAAAAGACAAAGTATTTTATTATATGTGGGCACAAAGGAAACATTGCAGAGTCAAGAATGGTGCGGGGAGACATTCGAGATCAAAAGTAACATAAGGTTTAACAGGCTGCTGCCAAGCCAACGTATTAAGGTTTATATATATTACCAACAAAACTCAAAAATAAAATTTAAAATTATTGACAACATCGATCCTAGGTATAACCGAACGTGCCCAACCCCCCGACAGCATCTGCACTCAACCCACAGACAGCATTTGGAGGGGAAGAAAAGAGAAAGCTCATGAAACATGGGTGTTGAGCAATTTAGAATTTAGTTGTACATAGTCCAATTTAACTATATTTTGGCACGCGCCCCTTGACTTACTTGTCCTCCATTCAACATTACTAATTAAAGTTAGGAGCCGAAATCTAACCAACGTTTACATCTGCAGTCTGCACGTAATTATGTAGAAAGTTACTATGGAAAGAAAGGTTGAGGCTTAGAACCCTTTTTTCCAAAGTAATTTTGTTGGGCACCGGCTTGACACAACTTGACGAGGTTTTGATGGTTAAAAGTCATACAACAATTAGTCATTGTGATTCTCAGTTTGATTAACGAACAAGTCCATTAATTGGCTAAGTCTTTTCAATTAATGGGAAAAAAATGGTCTATTGCAGCTCATCAACGTGCTTAAATATAAGAAGCCGAAATATTTGGAGGCGTGTACACATGCTAAGCAAAGTTTACATCTGCAGTCCGAACGTAGTTACGCAGAAGATTAGTTTAAGGTTGAGGTCTTGAACCCTTTTTAATTAAGTAATTTTGTTGGCTCCGGTTTGACTGGTTGAGGAGGTTTTGATGGTTAAAAGTCGGGGAAAAAAACCACGCAGTTCTTAGTGCAGGGTGATCCGCCCACAGACTACTTAATTAATTAATCTTATCAAAATATATGTGGGATCTCACTGGACATGGACTACTTAATCCCATCCAATTAGAGACTAATTACAATGAATCTCATCGTTTTCCCTCTTAGTTAGAGGTTCATTAATTTGCTTTCAGGGCCTCAAACAGTAATTGTACAGAACTCCCATGCATATGCTTTAAGGTAAGATAGGTTATGTTCATTTGAATCATTTGAGGCTCACAGACCCTTCTCAAGTTTGCAGATTTTGGTTTGCATGCTTCTATTTGATTTTTGTATGTAACATTCTTAAGGCTTGACCTTTCTCAGAAAAGCTGTCAACGTCCATACACTTGGCTGGGCAAAGTTCCTCAGTTTTCTTTGTGGGGTTATTGAAACAACCAAACAATCAAGTCTTCTAACCCTAACTGTGCAATTATTGCCATGATACTGTTCAAAATGAAGTTGATGTCGTTTAAGGTTGATTCCCATGATAGTTTTCCTCGCTCCACCACTTTCATTTAGGGAAAAAATTAAGTGGGCATCTCGCTAAATTGTACAGTCGTTTATATATACAACAGTATAAGTCTGAATTACAATGGGCGAGTGCTCTTAACTTTCATATTAAAACTTTGGATTTTTTTTTTCTTTTCTTGTTCTGAATCTTAAACTATAGAAATAATACTAGATTCCATATATCCTTTTAAGCAGCGATCTCTTGCGACCTTAGAGCCCTTAATTATTGCATGAATTTTTTTAAAATGATACAATACATCTCCTGATATGTATGAAGGGTGCTCCATTTGAAATAGAGACCTGTTTTACAGACGATGGTTATCGTTTCCATTGCACACAGGTACCTTGGTCAGAATAATTTGCAGAAGTACACCTTGTGGCTGCGGTACTGAATCATGGCTAGGTGCAGTCTCACCTTAATTGTCTTCATCATTTTCTCAATCTTAATATGGAGTACTTGTGCTTGTGGTGCAAGAGGCACGGACACACTTAAACCAGGTGAGACTCTAGATTACTCCAGCTTCTTAGTTTCTGCGAACGGGAAGTTCACTTTGGGTTTCTATGTAAGTGATCACAACAATTCGAAGTATTCCAGATACATGAATTTCAGGCAGAAAAAATACTTGACCCATTACACATAATGTTATTCCTTCTTATCACAAATCACAGTGTGTGTGCATATATGCAAAAAAATTTCTTTGTTTTATTTTCAATAGTCTTTTCTTTTTTTGGTCATTTGTATGGCAGACTGTAATTTGAAAGTTAGGATGAGGGACAACAAATGTGTTCTAATTTTGTATCATAACAAAATACATATATAGCTAATTAAATGTTGCGATACTAGATGCAGCACATGATAAGTGGTTATGGATTGGCTCTGGCAGTACTGCTGCTCTATTGGTAGCGGTGCTTTGGATCGTGTGCTATTTACGAAGGAGAAGAAAATTACTACGTTCCGGTATAGATTCGTTAAACTTAATGTGCAGCCGTTTATACAGAACATGTACATATATTAACCTTGAAACATCATATTGATAGAATGATTCTCATCTCTGACAAACAAAAAGGGACACTGATTGAGAATGTATTGGTCGAGTTGACGGACACTAATGTCAACGGGCTTCAAAATGATGGAGTGATGGAACATGATTTAAGAGTATTTAGCTATGCATCTGTCATGGCTGCCACAGACAACTTCTCCATTCAAAACAAGCTTGGTGAGGGGGGATTTGGACCTGTTTATAAGGTAAGTCTATGATTACTATTGAAAGTATTTTTATATCGATTTCCAAGAAATACCTAATATATTTTGTACCACTAATTCAGGGAACATTGGAATCGGGACAAGAAATAGCCGTGAAAACGCTTTCAAGATGTTCAGGGCAAGGAACATTCGAGTTTAAGAATGAATTGATACTCATATCTGAACTTCAACATACGAATCTTGTTCGTCTGTTTGGATTTTGCATTCATAAGGAAGAGAGGATGTTAATATATGAGAATATGCCAAACAAAAGTTTGGACTACCTTTTATTTGGTTGAGAACATACTATACTTTAATCTTATACACAAACATCTATTTGTTATTTATTCTGAAGTACATACATATTGTGATATATATTACTCATCCTTCTAACTCTATTTTAGGTACTGATCCAACCAGAGGCCTGTTACTAGATTGGAAGGCGCGTTTCGGCATAATTGAAGGAATCGCTCAAGGATTGCTTTACCTTCACAAATACTCAAGATTGAGAGTAATTCATAGAGATCTAAAAGCTAGTAATATACTACTTGATGAAAACATGAACCCTAAAATCTCTGATTTTGGTATGGCAAGGGCATTTGTCCATAATGAACTGGAAGCAAATACTGATAGGATCGTTGGCACATTGTAAGCAAACAATACATATTCTTAATTAACATGCATATATATAATTCCACTTTTGGTTGTTAATCATGATTCATGTATATTTGTACGTATTTTTTTTTTTTTTTTTTTTTTTTCCTTTGAAATAGAGGTTATATGTCTCCAGAGTATGCCATGGAGGGAATTTTCTCCCCAAAATCCGATGTCTACAGTTTTGGAGTACTAATGCTTGAAATCATATGTGGTAGAAAAAACAGCAGCTTCTACAATGATGATCATGTGATCAGTATAGTGGGTTATGTACGTCAAACACATATATACCATGTTTGATAAAATTTTCAGGTGTGAGATTATGATATCCTAAATGAATTAATTTGATGATCTTATTACATCAGGCATGGGAGTTATGGAAAGAAGGGGCAGGGCTAGAACTTATGGATCCAACACTAGGCGAGTCATGTGTTAGGGATCAATTGTTGAGATGCGTCCATGTTAGTCTATTATGCGTGGAGGAAAATGCCGTCGATCGACCCACCATGTCAGATGTCATATCTATGTTGACCAATGAAGGTGTGCCATTACCTATGCCTACAAAGCCAGCATTTTTCACAAAAAGAAGGGTGGTCGGCCGGGGTGGCGTGGGTGGAAATGATTTGGAACTTATTATATCAATAAATGGCTTGTCTAATTCGGATTTGGAGGGACGTTAAAATCACTAATATATATTTGGTTAGCCTCAGTTATACTTAATTTCATAAGTGTTATATATGGTACTACTTCATAAAATTGTAAATAATAAAGATAGATGATGATATGTTCGAAGCTTGATCTTCAGGTGATGCTGGCTATATATGTGAATTTCCAAAATTATTTCTTTTAAAAACTATGTTATTAACAAGGCACTAGTGTCAATATCATAATGTTTGCTCTACTTCTATATTTTCCACATAGGTTATCATATATATGGTTTATGTTTGTGCAAATTTCTCACGGGAGAATATTTGCATGTAGATTCTTCATCTTTTGAGCTTCCTTCTTTCTCTTCTTCGATTCCTGAAGAACAAACATGAGTAAAAGACTACATCTATAGGTGGTTGGCCAAAGGCCCTCCGATGCTTAAGTTAGTTTAATTAGATATTTGAGAAAAGATGTGGCAATAGCTAAACTGGTCGAAGTTTTCTCTCATGGGGAGAGCCGTGTGTGGTGGCACTTCGCCGTGGGGAGAGATGAGAGAGGGAGTAGTCGGCGGCAATGGAGGTGGCTAACGGCTAGGGAGAGAGAGAGGTTTTGGGGTTTTTAGAGCTAGGTTTCGGATTACCTTGTGTGTTGAATGTGGCTATATATTTATAGGGCTCTAGCCTGTTAATGTATGCATTTATGAGTTTGTTTCTTTTGGCTTCCCTTGACAACTTTGTAATAGGATTGTTATTGTGTTTATCAAGCTCATGTTTAGTTTAAGAATAGCTTCTCTAGGTGTTCTTAACTAACTTCTATCCTATGGACGCTCAAGCAAATTGACGAAGGTAACATGTGCATTGGATATCATTGCATTAAATTGTTCTCATAAAATTATGACTAGTCACCTGTTTCTCATATGCCAAGTCATCCTTTCTCTGTAGGATTTCCAGCTGGTTAACCAACTTTTTGTCCTATTCTTTTTTCTCTCTCTGCTACCATGTGTCATTCTGACCTAAGGGATTTTTGTCTGTAAAGGCTAGTATATTCCTCTTTCGGTAACCGTCTCTTTTGTGTGGAAGTTTTGGAAAGATTGGTTTGCTATCTTTCTCTTATTCTTCCTCAAGAGAGAACCAAATATTTCATCTATGAGTTTTTCCCATTGATTTCTTTTTGAAAAACTGCATTTGAAATACGAATCTGCATCTAGCTTCATTAAACACTCTCTCATTTATATCTAGGTCAAATTCGAGATTGATTTCTTCAAGAGTATGGTTTCTTGAAGAAATTAGTCATTCTCCTTTGAATCCAAATTTTGGTTTCGGTTTGAGCTGGAGCTTGCAAGCTAGTGCCATGGGATGAACAAGCTGGAGAAGGAGCTGCCATTGCTATGAAGAACTGAGCTTCAAGTTTTGCTAAGTTGGAGAAGAAGATTGCACGAAGGAAGGTATAGCTCATCCTCCTAAATAGATCTAGGTGTTTCTTGAGCTTGGTTGTGTTTCCTTTGTAAGAATCTTTTTCTACTTAGTGGATTGCTTGGTCCGTTGATGACTCCCAGTTTTTCCCAATGGTGGGTTTCTGGGTGAACAAATTTTGTTTTACATATCTATAATTTTTCTAAGTTTGTGTTCTTGGTAATTGACTAGTCATCTTTATTTGTTGTTTGGTATATACTTGATTATAATGATTTCACACACTTTTACCATAGTTGTTGCTAGCACAGGGGATGCCTAGATTGACGGGTCCTTCTGAGTGTCTAGGTTGTCACTAGTAATCTTCTAGGGTTGCAAGTACTTCGCGGCTTACTCTATGTGCACTCTTTATTGTGATTATTCATGACTAGCTGTTGACTAGTCATAAGTTTCTTTGATCGAGTTCTAAAGTGTGTGAAGGTTGTTGTGTCTTGGTTGTGTTGTAAAATTTACCCCTCGTCACCTAATTACCAATTTCATAGCCATCTAGGGTTTTTCAAAGAATATCTTCTTATTTGGAAGGAAGATATTCTTTCCCTAAGATTGAGTCTATTAGGGATTTGATTAGGATCAAATCACTAATTGATGTTAATATCTCCAAAATAAGATAATATCCTAATTAAATTGATGATATTATCTTTTAATTGGTGATTATATTCCCAAATAAAGATAATATCCCTATTTTTGGTATCACTTAATTGGCTCAATTACTTACCTATGAGATATTCTTCATATCCACATGGCACCTTGTGCTGCGAAACTGGAATATTGCTCCCACAAATGCCCCCAACTTTTCCATGGCGTTTGTGAGGCATATGGAGGAGATGAGAAATATTTTTCTGGCTTCCCAACTGCATCTGGGGTTTCTTCTTTGAGTTGGACACCTTTTGCAAATTGGGCTCCTAGTTGGAGCAGGCTTTAGACTTTTTCTTGGAGTTGGGCTCCTAATGGGAATAAGCTTGTGATTCCTCATCGACCTAGGATGCCCAACATTTATAAATACAAGGCTTCTTTTCACTCCTCTTCAAATTGCAAACTTGTTTTCTCTACTTTCTAGCTTGAGAGAGATCTTGGAGAATTGTACTGCCTGTCAAAGAGAGAGGAGTCGTCATGATGGCATAGGATAGCTGCAGGTGCGACGCCGACAGTGGCGATGGCAATGGTTGCCATTGCTGCCTGCCCACGCGCGCCCTTTCTTCTTCTTTTTTCCATCAAAGTTGGGCCGTTTAGCTTCGCAACAAAGGCTATGACCAAGGGAAATGGGGAAGCGTATGTGCTTCATTACGGCTCGGGCCTTGCTTGGTGCGGAAGAGTTGTTCCATCTGGCGTAGTTTGGGACGCACGGGCCTTTCTTTTTTTCCTCATTGGGCTGCACCATGGCTTCCCTGTTGTGGCTCCAAGGCTTGGGCTTCCACTCAGACTGCTCCATGGCTTGCCTTGCGACTCGGGCCACAAGGCCAATTCTTCTTCTCTTTTTCTTTTTGTGTTGCTAGTTCTTTTTTTCTTTTCAATTGCAAACCTGACATGTAATATGACTTGCAAAAAATTCTTTTTGTCTTGCAATTTTCCAGTCATCATGTTGTGAGGAAGGTAGTTGATCACTGAGCTCGCAAGTGCCTTTGTACCTGTGAGGTGGTTCCAAAGTGCATAAGAAAAGATTCGTGGCTAATCTACACCACGTTACGTTTGAAGCTCACTTCCAGAAATGGCGTGCCACATATGCTTCTGTCATACCTGATGACATGCACGTCAAGCTGGTGGAGTATTTGACCGACGATCCGCCTTGTATAGATACGAATGATCCAAATGCTAGAATTATAACATTCTGTCTCTTCTATTTCTCAGTGGGCTTCACGTTCCGGTTGTCGAAATTCTTCAAGAAGGTGCTCTGCTCCATGGAGTGTGCCCCAAGTCAATGTAATCTGAACGTCTACCAAGCAATCATGTGCTTTGAGAATCTGAGCAGTTTCTTCAAGTTGGATATGGCAGTGTGAGAGTTCTTCTACTTCTTCGAAGTGAAACGCCATAAGAAGTATGTCCAAGTTCATATATGCAGAGCCAAGCTGTTCGACAGTCTTAACCAAGGAGATCATGTATGGCACGCCAATGTATTGAAGGTCAGCGGACAGTAGGAAGGCGAGGTCGGCGATGTTCCACTTGTTCCCATCATTTACTGCAATGGTACATATAACTTTTTTTTCATCCGCTTCAATTTTGTCTGAATTCTTTGATGTGTGACTAATTGACTTCTATCTTTTGCTTGCAGAGAATGAAATTTGCAATAGACTGGATCTCGAGTCGGATATGGCTGAGGTCCACTGGGACTTGAACATCCCATTAAGGTTTTGTGAATGGCGCTAGTTGTTGAGCGAGTATCGGGAGAAAGTTGGTTGCCAGCCCCCTGCCCAGGATGTTGAGAGATGGAAACAATATGGTCTATACTCGATGGATCTGCCCATCGAATAGGATGAGTGTTCAGCCGACCCCCCTAAAAAATGATGGTCAACGCTAAGTCCGTTAAAGATGAAGTTGCAACTTCGCAGGCAAGGGATATGTCATCGCTGAGAAAGAAGCTAGCACTTCCTTTTGCTGTGATCAAGTCTTCTTTGAAAAATGTCACATCTGCCTAGAAGACACAAGTTGGGACTGCTTCTTCATCATTTGCCAAGGTCAAGCACCTTGTCAATGCGGATAGCAAGAAGATTGGTGACATGCAAAATGTTCGAGACACTCCGCTCAAGTATCTTACTGACAAGCTCAGAAATTTCAATCTACCTTGTAGAGAAGTCTGCTCCCGAACCAGTTTACCTACCGAGAGGCAAAGAGATATTGATATTCATCCCCAAATTTCAAGTCGCCTTTATCGGTCAAGGGACGAGGATCGAACTGGGAGAACTAATCTTCCGCCTAACCATTGCGATCCAACTGTCGAGCTCCGAGCAGTCAAACATGAAGCTGATTCGATGTCGTTGACTCTTTTAGAAGCAAGAATGGCAGTAGCTAAGAATGCCAGAAAGTCATTTGCTCGGGCAAAAGGTTTTTCGGAATTGCGAATAGCTGGTCCAAAGGTTGACAAGTCTAACTCTGCATAGGATGCATGTGTATCTGATCTGCTCAAGACAAACTTCATGTCAAGCTCGTCTACTTGCATCAAGCTAGTTGATCATAACCATCAAGCTGGTGACCTTGACACTTTCTTAAGTTTTTCCTTGGTGGTTTGGATCCGTCGTGGATTGCGTCGTCATGGCAGTTTTCTTTCTCGTTTGCTTGCTTCCAACCACGGTTATTTGAAAGGCTTCGGTTGGGTGATGAATAGGAAGAAACGGATTCCTTTGATTCAAAAGCATGCATTGAGCATAACTCATACTCTCAATGAAAGCACCAAAATGTTTGTCCAAATTTCTCACGGAAGAATATTTGCGTGTAGATCCTTTACTTTCTTAGCTTCATTCTCTCTATTCCTCAATTATTGTAAACCAAATAGGAGTAAAGGACCACACTCGAGAGTTGTTGGCCAAAGGCCCTCCGATGCCTTAGTTAGTTCAATTGGATCTTTGAGAAAAGATGTGGCAATAACTAAACTGGTTGGAGTTTTCTCTCACGGGGAGAGTCAGATGGTCGAAGCCGTGTATGGTGGCACTTAGCTGTGTGGGAGATATGAGAGAAGAAGTGGCCGGCTACAATGGAGGTGGTCGAAGGCTAGGAGGAGAGAGAGGTTTCGGAGGTTTTAGAGTTAGGTTTCGAATTATCTTATATGTTGAATGTGGCTAGGTATTTATAGGGCTCTAGCCATCTAGGGTTTTTCAAAGAATATATTCTTATTTGAAAGGAAGATATTCTTTTCCCAAAATGTAGAGATTGAGTCCATTAGGGATTTGATTATGATCAAATCACTAATTGATGATAATATCTCCAAAATAAGATAATATCCTAAATTGATGATATTATCTTTTAATTGGTGATTATATTCCCAAATAAAGATAATATCTCATATTTAAGATAAATCCCTATTTTTGGTATCAATTAATTGGCCATATAAATGGGCTCAATTACTAACCTTGTTATCCACTTGGCACCTTGTTGAAGCCGGAATATTTGCTCCCACAGTTTATCCCTAATGTCTGAAGTGGGTAAAAGATGAGAGAACCAATGCCACCATTGCGAGTAAGGTTTAGGGACAAATATTTCAATTTAAAAATTATTCAATTGCATATGTACGTTGGTCAGGGCGTCCCCTGTATCCAAGTTCGAATGCCTCTTCTTACATTAGATTAATTTAAAATAATTTAGACTATATCTTTTATATATAAATATATATATATAAATAAAATTTGAGAACGTTCGAACACCAATTAACCTCTAAAAAATCATTGACATTTCTAATGAAAATGAAAAAAAAAAAAAAAAAAAAAAAAAAAAAAAAAATTTAAAACAAAAATAAAAACCAAAACATTTATTTAAAAAAATGAACAAAGAATCGTAGTTTTGATAAAATAGAGTGATTCTAGATAGACCAAAATCACTTTTGGGAATAAACATCTCCCACGTGCTTCTCTCTAGAATCACCTCCCATGTGCTTCTTCATAAAATCACTTAAAATAACTTAAAATGATTATTTGGAGAAGTGATTCTTCATAAAAGTGACTATTAGCCTCTCTAGAATCACTCCCAAACGATGATTAACTTTGTTAAGATGATTTTCCGTACAAACAGCAAAACCTCTACTGGCATGTGTCACAATCATACGCTATTACAAATATTACAGATGGCAACATCTCATATATAGTCTAACACAAATAACAGGGGAGAAAAGCAACAGCATACCCAGGAAAACAATCAAGGCACCAAGGACCAAGCTTTAGCAAGAGGACAGCTCGCGAGACCAACGACATGCCAAGCTGTTCTGGATATGGATGATGAGGCTGAGGAATATTCCTTTTGAATTATTTTTATAGCATTCTATCTCATTCTGTAAGGTGGATATATGTACGGGTTCAAATAGTAAATACAGACAGAATAGGATATGTAAAACTTTGCCGTTTTGAATGCTCACAATAGAAACCTAGCTACGGCAGCTCCTTCAATTTCCAGAAAGCAGAGCATAGTCTGGTATCAAAAAAACAAGCCAGGATATATTGTACAAGTTAGAGAGGGAACGGGGGTTTTAAAAGAAAGAAATAGGGGATTTCACAAAATTATGTTACCTTCAACTTCTTCTTGTTTTTAGAGAGAGAAACGGGGCTTCAAAGAAAGAAAAAATGGTGAAATATGAAAGGGCTGTTCTGAATAGTTGGGGAGAGAAAATGGTTGGTAAATGAGGGGGAAGAAGAGTATATGGCTAATGCTTAAGAGCATATCCAATAGTAGTAGCAAATTAAACTTTTCAAATTGAAGTTTGTTGACTTATGTGGCAATTTGAAAAGGTTTATTTGATACTTGAATAATTTTTCCTCCACCAACAGACTCTTCAATTCAGTTAATGCAATATCTTGAAAAAAAATGAAAACATGTGAAAACTGTCTATGTATTTATTATTTGAAAAGAAAAAATGCAGATTTTAACATTTTTAAGGTAGGTTTTGTTTTTCCAAGGTAAAATTAAATGTTTTGAAGAGTCAAAGTCAACTTACCAATCCTAAAAAAAAATGTTGCAGTTTTGATGACTAAGTTTGACAAGGCTGTTGAAGAGATTTTTTAAGATGTGGCTCATCATCCTAAAATGGTTGAAGAGACTATTGAAGATGCTCTACTGTTCACGTATTGTGTAAAATAGATTAATGGTACTATACTACTAATAAAATAATAAATGAGCTTTTAATCTCATATATGTTTTTCAGTCCCATTACTCTAGGACCAAGGAGTTTATTGGTCAACTGCTTTTGGATTAAATCAAGGGTGAGCAGCTATAATTTCAATTAATAATATTTAATGTCAATTTTTTGGGTACATAATTTTAAATCCACCTGTATGTTTTCAACCGTAGGATGATAAAATATCTAAAAGTTAGTGTGTCAAAATTTGTATTTTTTTGTGTGTCCCCAATCCTAACCCACCTAAAAAGAGGAAATATATAAAGAAAGAGAAGATGAAGACAAGATAAGAGAGAAGATGCATATTGGAGAGAGTATGAGAGGAAAAGAGATGAAGAAGATGGAAAGAGGATGAAAATAGAATTCTAGGGAGAAGATGATGAAAATAGAATTTTTCACGTGAACGTGTGTGTTTTTTTTCCCTAGTATAATTAGGTGTGTATTAAACCGGGATTCGTGAGTTTTATTACTTAATCAGATAAGGAGAATATCAAAAGCTCAACCCGTTTAAAATAGTCAGGTAATTAAAGAATACAAGTTGACACCAAACAACTGATATGGACTCTTTACTCCTATCCAGAGTCTAATATGGTGTACTAAACGAGCCTAAGTCTTATAAAGACCTCCATGACACTCTTAACTTTTCCAAGTTGGACAAATTCAACTCAAACAAACTCTATAGCCAACAAAGCTTAATTAGGAATAAGTGGTAGATTATGGAGGTGCTGGAGTATACAAGCCAAAAGTCCAGAGTGGAGATCGTGTACAAGCACTTAGTGAAATTCTTTTCATTTTTTACTTTCGCTGGGTGAGGTGGGAATAATAATTTTCTAACCTAAAATGTCGTCCAATCCGACATACATACAGGTGAATAGAACTGTAATTAATGACAATTAAAATAAAACAAAGAATCAATGTTCAATCTATTTTAAGAACTTCCTTTTACGAGACGTAATTGGAATGAGCATTAGCCCCTAAATTAATGACAGAAAAATAAATAAATGGTAATTAAAATATTCCCTGATGATAAAAGTGATCGTCCACTAAATTAATTTAATCTTTCTTTTAATCCCACTAAATTACATTCACCAAAGATAGCATCAATCTTATCTGGTGCTTGATTAAAATGTCCGGCTCAAGTCCTCGTCCAAAGTAAATGGAATGAAGAGATGTCACAGAACTAAATACGTCATCTAATCCAACAGGTTCTATTGCTATTCATATATATATATATATATATCACATTATTATACCACCTTATGTGGCAGATGAAGTAGACATTCACATCAATTAAAAGTGTCAATAAATCATAAAGGAAAATAAAATATTTAATTAATTTTATTTAATATGACTATCCACCTCATCTGCCATATAAGATGATATGAGAATATTACATACAAGTATATATGATAAAAGTAACGGTATTCAATTCTAATCATTTCTATTCTAATTGTATCAAATGTGCCCAAATTAAATAAGACAATAAACAACAAAAGAGACAAGCAACTTTTGTCGGTATTATGGAGGGTGAATAATTTGTAGGCATTGTGTATATATTATGGATTGTGATTGGCTTGGAAAAAAGATTATAGAGCACTGAGAGATGGAAAGTGCAATTTGCTTGAGAATTGCAAAAGATTTGGAGCTGCAACATCTCCCATGTTTATCGATAATTAATGAATGGTGCTGCTGACCAACCTGCTTCCCTTGGATTTTCTTCTCCTTTAGCCCTTCATATTTTGGAAGTTGCTACGATGCCCTTGCTGTGTATTTTATTAGAGAGTTATTCACACTAACACCTCTTTTGATTTTTTTTATTTTGATTTTTCACAAAACACACCTAAGGTTTCAGAGATTACATGGATACTCTTTGAGGTTTTAACTTTTTTTCTCAAAATCCCTTTACATTGATTTTTTCGTCTAAAGATTGATGATTTTATATATGTAAAAAAATTAAGTTATTTACACTATAATACCCCCTTAAGTTTTCGGCTTTTTCACAAAACCACCTGAGGTTTTAGAAATTACACAAACACCTTTTTGTTGAGGGGTTTTGTGAAAACAGTTTAAACCCTCAAATGGTATTACCCCAAAACCTCAGGGGGTTTTGTAAAAAAGTCGAAAACTTGAGGGGGTGTTATAAATAACTCTAAAAAAAATTCTCCAAATGACAAAGTTATCCCCTGAGATTAGATTGCACATACATTTATTGAGGTTACTTTTGTCATCTAACGAAAATGGGTTTCTTTTAAACAAATTGAAACTTCAGAGGTTGTTCGTGTAGGTTTTGAAATCTCAAGGGGTTTTTGTGAAAACACTAAAACCTCAAGGGCTGTTAGTGTAAATAATTGATAACCTACTTAAAGAAGGCTTTAAAGAAGTCACTTCGATGAAACATATAATTGGAATGACCACTAGTGCTTCTTTATGGTTACGGAATTTAAACTCCAGATCATAACCAGCTAGAATTCTCAAACCTACGGCCACTTTTCTTTTCTTTTTATTTTTATTTTTTTGTTGATTCAAGCGATAATAAAGAATGGGGATATTATGCTCTTAACTGCCTGAGCTATATCTTTATGGTTATGGAAAACAAACTCCAAATCATAACCAATTAGAAATCTCGGGCCACTATTCTTTTTTCTTTTTTCTGTTAATACAAGCAATATTGGGGAGGGAAGGGGGAAGAAGGAGGGGGATTGAACTAAGGACCTCGGGTGCAAGAGTTATGCTCCGTTTGGATGAAGGAATTGCAAATTACATAGAATTTTAAAATGACGGAATTTAGATTTCCGTCATTTCAATTTCTGGCAATTGAAGATTTCAGTGTTTGGATTTATGTATGTCGAATTTTGTAAATGACAGAAATTGAAAATTTCAATGTTCGGATAGCTCATGTAAATTATAAATGAAAGAAATTAAATATTTCGAAAGAACAAAAAAACAGATAACTGACATAGAAGGTATTCCTCGAAGTATGAAATAGCATATCGTTTGATGAACTAAATAACTCAACTTAAACAAACAAAGCATATTAGCAAACCAAATCACTCCCCACGTGCAATGAACATCAGTAACATACTTTTTTTTTCTCAATTGGGAGTGCCTATGGAATTAGAACTAGAAGCAATCAGCAATCAAGACCCTGATACTTCTTTTTCACTTGGCAAAAAGACCAATGACCAGAGAAACTGAAAGGGCTTTGATTAATAAGTTGCAAACAAAAGTATAGGAATAAATTATGAAATCAATGAATCACTATCATAAGACTTAATTTAAGTCCCAAAGAATGAAGGAGCACCTTGGCCAAGCTGTAGCTTACGAGCAAGTTGGTGTAGCTTACAATCAACATCTAATGGCTCACACAAAGCGATAAAGCTAACAAACAACTACAAAGCAAGGCGACACAAAGTGATAAAGCTAGCAAACAACTACAGAGCTGTACCATAAACACCAATCACACACCAATATCCATGGGCATAGAGTATTTTGTTAAAACTTCCCAAAAATCCAGCCACAGTGCCGCAAAGATCACAAAACCCATTCAACACATTCATAAATTTAGTCAAACACACCCAATTTTGATAGCCATTCAGAAACCATGGTAACCCTAAAATAAAAAAAATATAAATTGAAGGAGAGAAAGGCTTGAAGACTAACCTTCTAACTTGATCCAAAGAGCCATGTAACCCAAGAAGAACTCCTTCTCCTTACTTCTCTTGCTATACTCAGTTTCATTTTGGTTTTTGTTTTTTTTTTTTTTTTTTTTTTTTTTTTTTTTTTTTTTTTGGTGGGTTTTTTTTTATGTAAGTTTTTGGCACACTGGAAAATATGAATTACCGCACTACGGAAATTGTGAAATGAAAAGCATATTTTTGTGGAAATTAAACTTGGGAATTTGATACCTCAATTTCCATGATTTTTTCCACGCGTCATTTAATAAGTTCCGCGTTTAAGTTGCCAAACAAGGGAATTGTCAATTTCTCTTCTTCAATTCCCGACTTTCACCTAAATTCCGAGTTATTTTCCCTCATCCAAACGGAGGGTTAATGTTCTTAACCACTTGACATATAAATCTCTTGCACTTAAGTCTAATAAAGCGATATTCTAAATTATTGTAGAGAGAAGGATCG